TTTTAAGCACGATTGCTATTTGGGGCTGGATAACTTTTTGCTGTGAAGAAGCTATCTGTGCAAATTAAGATGTTAAGCAGCATTCTTGGTCTTACCCCTCAGATGCCAGTAGCACTCCCCACCCTGTTGAGACCAGCAAAAACATCTCAAATCACTGTCATCAAATGTCTCTTGAGTTACAAAATCACCCTTAGTTCAGAACCACTGTTTTAGAGATACAAGGGGATTTAGAAATCAAGTTTTACCCGTTTATTTTACAGGTGAGAACATTAATATTTCGAGTGCTCAGTGTAGATAATTTGCCCAAAGTCTTATGGTTAATTAGCTTAATTAACCCGTTGCCATAGATAGTAGGGAAGATAGGATGACTTTCCCACTACCTTGGACAAATGCTGTTTTAGTGGTTATCACTTAGCCCACAAACCCAAACACACTGCTTTCAAATCAATTGCAACTCATGGTGACCTTAGAGGACAGAGAACTGCTCCACACTGTTTACAGGACTGTAATGTCTTTACAGGAGCAGCCAGCTTCATCATTCTCCAGAGGAGACACTGGTGGGGTTGAACTGTTCGCCGGTGAGTAGCAGTCTGGCGCATAACCCACTGTATCAGGCTGCTGAATGTTACTTTAGCAGCTAGATATTCCCTAATTCTTGAACAAACAGAAAGCCGTCAAAACTGAGAGGAGGATGTCAATTTTTTTACAATTTTTCATGTGATCATTTAAAGTTAATTAGGTTTCAGCTATTTTACCAGTGACGATCTAATTTCTGTGATCTTTGATTTAAAAAAAATCTGCTAAAGAATTTACCAAGAGCTACACAGAGAAGATAAGATGCAAGGAGATGAATGATTAGACTCCCAGTACTCTTCTTGGTGTGCCCTTCACCTGGCAGTGGTTTTGCTCATCGTACAAAAGCCACCTGCATTTCTCAGGTGAAAAGCTATGGATGTTGAACATCCTCAGCAAAATCCTTGAAGGTCCTTCATGGTTATGCTTTGCTCAGCCAAAATAAACTTGTACACTGACCTTGTGAACAGATGCCTGGTAATGAGGTCATAGAGCTGAGTAACATTTTCAGAAAATTGCTTTACGGTGTAATAAATGTTCTTATTAGATTCCTATTTTCATCTTTCACATGCTCAGGTAGTTCAACTTGGGAAATCTCGTCAGGAGTATTATCGTTCTTTAAAGGTCACATTAAAAGTCCATTAATTTTTAGCCTGAAAGTTATTTTTAACCAACTATATATTGTAAAAATTTTAAATAATTCTAGAGTATTACAGTTTCTCCTTAAACTTGCCCTATTTCCTATTTCAGTTTCAAATTACTCTTCAGTATGAAGTGTCTGGTTCAGTGATTCTTCCATAACAATATCATTCTTTGACATCTCAGAGATGAAATTAATTTTGCCTACTTTAAATTGGTTCAGTATAACTTGTGGCAAATAGCATTAACGTGATGATATTTTCAACATACTAGACTCCGGGATGGTTGAAGCCAATATTCCTGTCCTCATGATGAGAAAGGGGAAAGTTTATAGTGATAACAATTTTAAAAGTTTGCAGTCATAATTTGCTTGTTAATGAAAGTTCATGGGGGCTTCACAAAGTTTTGGTTAAATGAAATCAATTTTCCACAAACATTTTTAAAGCCCCTTATATTATCACCACATAATAAGCAAGGAGGGGCTAGTTCTACAATAAACTCCAAAGATAAGAAAAGTGTTTGCTTTACAGTGATAATTTAGATGATTTCTATACTTAATTATGATTCCTACCTTTGGACTAAAGAGAGGTGACTTTAAAGGTTTTAAATATGTAAATAAAAATAAACAATGGTTTACAATGATTTAAAGAAGATAACCAGAAAAAAAAATAGGATTATGTTTATATCCCCCAAAATATTTACTTTAGGGGCTGGCTCTTAGTGACCAAATGCATGATAAACTTTGCAGGTAGTGAATGTACACATTAGCTACAGTCAGAGCTTAGCTCATGCGGGTAGAGACCAAGTCTATCTTGCTCATGTTTGTATCGATAACACATAGTATATAGTAGATCTGAAATAAGTAGAAGGTGCATAAATGATAGCTCAGACACTAAATACTTAGAGCATCCAAGTAATACACAAACACAGAGCACGAGATAATAGAAGAAGATAAAACTGTGAAGACGGCAGATTCTCCACACAGAGGGTTTGTAAGTAAACACACGCAAAAGAAAAAAACTGCAAAAACCATTATATTACGTGGAAAGGTGTGTCCCAGAACAATAAGATTACAAACTATATTTAAATGCTAAAGTACGGGCCTACATACTGTTTTCTAAAATACTACATATGTTCAAAATGTCTGTATTTTTGACAGTTTTTCAAGTTGAAATTTAATCTGTAGTTTGTCTTTATGGAATCATACTGAGAGATGTTTACATGTGAAAAATTCAGAAAGCATCTTCTTTGGGGTGTAAATAAATACATACACTTAGATTGTGAAGTTAAGTAATACTAAAAGCTTGATACAAAACAAAGCAAAAGTTTTGGCCTCCTTCTCTTCAGCCCCTAAAAGATGCAATCACGTTAAGCCCTCTTTATTTCCTATTCTGGAAGATGAGGATTGCCGCTCTCTGCCATCCATGCTTTCCCCACCTATTCTCCCAACTTGGCAAAATCATCGTTTCAATACCCATACTCACTGTTGTGTGCTGCTCTGATTATGATGATATAAGTGCCACTCACTGTGGAGTCATGTTCATTTATCTCCTTTCTTACCAGCTTTTAGGTTTCTTTCATATGCTTAGTCTTCTTCTTGATAGTTTGCATTCACTCTTCCTCTATATACTATTTCCAATACATTTGTTCATGGAGCTCAGGGCAGGTGTGGAGCTGTATCAGTACCTGCTCTTTACAGCCAAGGGTCTTCTAATCGGTAACAGCATGGACTCTGATGTGCTTAAACATTACCTCTGTATAGAATTAAGCCTATTAGCTACTCTCAGCTCCCTCTTTCAAGGCATAGCTCTTGGTACTTATCATCCACTTCTAGCTGGATGTACTCAAACTTGCTACACGGAGCTCATTCTGGAAATTCACTTCAGCTCTCTACTATGTTTCCTGGATATGACTGGTTTCTTTTTTCTTGAATTATTCCTGAACGTTGAACGAGTATATGCCCTTGACAAGGGATGAAAAGGAAACACATTTTGCAACTTTGCTTGCCCATAATTTAAAAATGAACTTAAGAATGATAATAATTTTCACTCAGAAACTTGATGGAATTACTCTGCTCTCTTCAAGATTCCACTGTCATGATTTTAAAAATTATGTTTTAATTTTAAAGCCATTTTGAATTTTGCTTGTTTGAATGTGACATACCTTTTCTCTCTGGACACATTAAGAATTCTCTACTTACTGTTGCTGCATTGGAATATCACATTAACTCTGATTAGAGCCAGTCCTCCCTATCCACCTCCACTTTGTTCATTTCTATAGGTGCTTTGAGGGGCCCTTTAAACTTGGAGGTTCATGCCTTACAGCTCTGTGAAGCACTGTCATACCATTTCTTCCATAACTGTATCTATTATCTCTTGTTAGGATTCTCAGTTTTTTAAAACTGGATCCACTAGATGGTCCTTTTTAGTAGAGATGGAAGTTATGCTTTTACATTAAGCACGAAATAAAAAGCAAATGATCTGCTTCTAATATGGAAAATTAGAAGCAAATAAATTTGACATTTTAGTATTTGATTGTAAATGTAGTCTAATAAATAAGAAAGTTTATATAAGTCAAATGCCAGGCAAACTATACCACATTAAAATGCTATTAATTACTAATCATTAACAATATATTTGATTTATATAGCCAGCTATTACATTCTCATTGTTCCTAATGCAATACTACTAGATGTATAATGTGACATTTTCATCGTTTTGATCATATTATTGTGATCATTGAGACAAGCACTCTAAACTGTGAAAACCCCTTCATTTTCACATTCCTTCACTTTTGCTACAAGGTTAAATCACCTGGTATAGAATAATTATTTCCAAAATGTTGTTTTAATTTAAGTATGTTAAATGAACCTAATTTGATCCTAGAGTTTTGTTAGTCTCGATGTAACTTGAGAGGAACAAACTCAATATTCCATTTGAAGTGGGCTCCTATTATAAGCAAGGAAGGACTGTGCTTTTATAGATCTGATCACAGATAGGTATGTTATCCTAAATATGCAGTAGCCAATCAACACAGAAGTAATTGTCTATAATTACTTAGAAATAAACACCTGGCACTTTCTGCATCTGATGCCGATTTCCTTCCCACACATTACACACCAAAATCCATTGATCTCTAGTATTTAAAATAAACCACACTAAATACTGGATGCAAAACAAAAAAAAATCCAAAAGGCATAATGCAAAGTTTCACGGAAGGCATTCAATTAATAACTTGGCTAGCAAAACATAACAAATGGCATTAGTAATTGGCTAAGTAAATTTCAAGTTTTAAGAACAGAACTTTTTCATGCCTTATTTTGGTTAATCAGTTACCTCAAATTGATTGAAGTAGAAGTGCAGAAGTAAGCCAGAAATCCTACCAAGATATTGCCATCGAGAGAGAGATAGAGAGGACACCAAAGACAGAGAGAGAAAGAATGATCATCTTTACTAAAGGTAATGCATTATAATTACTGCAAGGTTATAAAGTGGGAAAATTATGACTAAATGAGAAAAACAACATTTTCAGGTATGCTTTATTTACTAGCTCTCGTTTTGTGATTAATTAAAAGGTAATTGCAAGATGTTAAGTAGTTATAATAAAAATTATGTTAAAATGTCATTACAGTGATCGACAGTACTTGTCCTTTCCAGCATTACAACCATAAATACAAAGCAAAATCCTCTCAAAATTTTATAATAATCTAAAATCAAAAGCCACCCAACCCTTTATCTGTTTACTTAGTAAGACATTGGATTAATATATATATATAAATGAAAAATTACCTTCACTGCTGCAGTGACAGCTGCAGTTGCTGCTAAGTTTAAACCTTGCCGTCCAAAGTTTACCATAGTTTCATAGCCTCGTTCTTTTGCTTGTATAATGTAATCATCAATCTCCTGGGGAGAAAATGCCCCAAAGATGTTAATTTTATTTCAAAAAAGGGCTAAAAATCAAAATGAAACAAAACAAATGACTTTCCATGCACAATATTTTAGTTTCACTAATTTCATAGTGTAAAGCACGGTCAATATATATTTTTAACAGATAATTTATAGAAATAATTTGTATGTCTTACCCTTTCCTTTGAAGAAAGAAGTGGATGAAGAAATTTTCTATATATTAAACTTGCTCCTTTGGTATAGGGGGAGAGCAACCATATGACAAAAGCAATCTTCAGCTCATAGTACAGGGGGAACCTAACAACAAGACAATGGAAACAAGTAAAACTCACCAGAGATACAAACTGCAAACAAAATCACACACATATGCACACACGTTTTAAATAAGTTCAGTAATGTCGTGATCAATAGCTCAATTAAACTACAGGTCAGTGATCTGATTCCCTCAGAGGTGCATACTTTCTAGTATAAGACTCTTCTTTTTAAGCAGCAGAAGCAAGTTTTCAAAGTGACTGTAAAAGAAGGTATCAAAGCATATAAGCAGGGTAGTAAAGCACGTCTATCCTGCCAGCACATGTGGCTTGGCATTCGTGATGCCCCTCAAAATTAAGAAACAACTTTCTATATTCCATGTGAACAAAATACCTGTATTCAAAGCTCTTTATCTTTCTCAGAAACCCCAAAAAAGCTCCCCTCCAATCTCATTTGGTCAGAATTATAGCACTAAAGCAAACACTTACAAGAGAATGGAATTAACATTGTGGTAGATCAGGAATTAGGATTATATACTCACAGCAATTTTCATAAATCTTTGCAGGGCTTTCATCAAGAATAAACGAAACAAAACAAAAAGCAAAGCAAAGGTAAGTCACTGCCATTAAGTTGATTCAGCTCAGCAGCCCCACAGACAGAGTAGAACTGCCCCTGTGGGTTTCCGAGACTGTAAATCTTTAGGGGAGCAGAAAACATCCTCTTACTCTCACGGAGAGAGTTGAACTGCTGGCCTTGTGGTTAGCAGCCTGATTCCTTGCCTTCCCCATAGGGCGAGTATAAGCCTCTACAGGATGGCTATGGGCTTAGCAGTGAGACATCTTTGGTCAACAGAATGTGAGTCTGACATATATCACATGCAGGCAGAACCTTTAAATGTCATTGTGTGGTCTGGTTCCCTCTGCTTCCCTCCACCCCCACACCATTATCTAGCCTAAAGCTTGTTGCCTTCTGTTAATAGCTGCTTCTTCAGCCTGGGTCACCAAGCAAGAAGGCTCCTAAAGCTGAGCTAAGCCCAGCAAAGCTTCAGTCATCCATTTGCCTACATGTAACTTGAACAAAAAGAAATGCTGTCTTTCCAATTCTCTGCCTCTCGAGTTATCTGTTGCTTAGTAAAAGCTAATGTGGGGAATAGCGGCTTCTGATCCCTGAAGCACTAAAACCTATGAAAAAAGAACAAATCTGAGTGCTTCTGGTGGAGGGAAGTGAGAAGTGATTATTATGTAGTCACCAGAGGGTCTGCCACAGTGCAATTACAGAGAGATTTCTGAACTTTCATTCTTCATGTTAAATCTTTTCTACATTGCTCATATTTAAAATATCTATGCTATATTTGCATAAAGAGAAAACAGTAAGCCTTTTGAAAATGAGCTTTGAAATCTAACATAGTTTAGAATCTTGTTCTGTCACTCAAAATTTAACAAGCGATAAATAAAATGTGTACATACAGATAATTCTACAGAAATATTACCCAGTCAGATCCCGACACATGGATGAGTCTTACGATCATTATCTGAGTAGAATAAACTATTAACAGAAGGAACAAATGTTGTATAATCCTATTTAGATGAAATATGTGGGATAGACAAGTGTGTGGAGCCCAAAGTCTCTTAATGGTTATCAGAGGTAGGCTAGAGACAGGGAAAGAGCATGCAGTGTTTAGTGGAGAGTGAACTTCTGTTAAGCATCATGGGAAATGTTGGAAATGATAATGATTAAACAATATGATACATAAACTAACACTACTAAATTGTACATGTGAAAAATTTAGATATGGCAGATGACTTTTAAATAATATATTTACAATAAAAATAAATAAAACAAAATAAGCAAGCAGAACAACAAAAGCAACAACAAAAAAATCCAGCTAATCAAACCCTGACACCAAAGCATATCTGGTAAAATAATTGTCAGTGGAAGAGAGGAAGGGAAACCTTCTTCAAATTAAAAAAGAAGGACGACAGCAGACACAGAGAAGCTCACACGTCAGATCATGTTGTTAGGAACATTCAGGGCTGATGACTTCTATTTTTTCCAGCAAATTCAATGTGATCTAATGTGTTAAGAATGAGAATAGGCAAGTGGGAAAGACTGCTTAAGAAGAACAGCAAAGGATTGGAAAAGGCACAGGAAGGTTGGGAGTAGTGTCAGAGCAAAACGAGTAAAGGGAACACTGAAGTTGGAATTAACACCCATGTGAGAGAACCTGATTTGTTGTTTTGTGGGGAGCAGGAATCTATAGTTCATAACACAAAGAAATAAAGATGAACAACTGTTGGACTAAGTAGGCCGAACATTTGTGCAAAAAGACAGCTGGCGATCTGGCAAGGTAGTAAAGGAAGTGGAGCAATATAGAGAAGCACGGTGGGTTGAAAAAGCAGGTAAAAGGAGGTGGAAGCAAGGGACTATGGGATCATGTAGCTAATCAAGAGATAAGAGGTCTTACTGAGGTGAAAAAGGAGTATCCAATGGGACAAGCAAGAGGCTAAGTGTGTGACAAGCCAGAAGTTTGAAGATTTTGATAGGAGGACTGGTCTAGATGAAAGGTAGGATTTGAACCATGCACCATGGACACACAGCACAGTGTGGAAAAGAACAGCGAAGGAACTGATGCTGAGGGGGTGTCCCCATGAATGTAGACGTTCTGGTTTAAATATCTACAGATGAGAATTTGAAGGATGAGCAGGCAGTGGTAAAATCAGATGCTGCAGTCGCGAAAAGAGGAATCATCTAGTGAAAGAAAGAAGAAATAGTTTTTAATCATCAATATGGAAAAAGGAAAATGACAACCCAAATCCCCTATTCTTAAACACTGGGAGGTGGGCAGAGAAAGCAGTAATTGGGAAGAAGAATGAGCTACCTTTATTTGATGGCAGTGGGTTTGATTTTGATTTTTGATTAACAGTAAGAAAAGTAATGTTCTTAAAGGAAAGCCAGATTTAAAAAAAAAAGACAATGCATAATGAGATAACTCGGTTAAGTTCAACTAGTTAACTGCAAGACATCTGATAACTAGTCTGTAAACTGTCTTTTTCTTGGTAGTCGAACTTACCAAGCAACTGTTTGATCTGCCACTGTTTCAATTACAGTATAGAGAGCAAAAACAATCCAGTACATCATCCATCGAACCTGGAAATAATAAAAACACCCAATAACAATAAAAAAAACACCACATCCAATAAATGAGTGAGAACTACTTGCCAGTCTGAATAATTACATTTACACACATGCATAATGTGCATATAAAGATATACATTATGGGTGTTTCACAATCAGACATAGTAAACAGATATGATACATATGTAGTACCTTAAGGCAACTATAATAGGTGATTTTCGATAGGTTTACATTTGAGTTCTTCACATTTCATCAACATTACATCAGCAACCTTGGGATAAAAGCATCAAAGAGTAACACATTTCTGAGGCCTGATACAATATATCATAGAGATCTGAATGAGAGGGCTTGAAAAACAAAAAAAATCTTTTCCTTAATTGGAGAAAAATGATTATTCTAAAGGTCTTATTTCATTATTTTTGACAAAAAGTATTATATAAACAGCAGCATGATATGATATGGCTACATTTAATCTCTAAATTTCATAACATCAATGTATAGAATCAGTTCAGAAACCAAAGAACAATCCTGGCTTTGTCACTTTTATAAGACATTATAAAAAAAACCATTCATAATGCTGGTCTCCCAGTTTGGAAATCAATTGTTGAGAGTTGGTGTCTTCTGTGTAATCTCCCATATCCAAGCCAGTAAATTCTCTCAGACACCTTTCTTTTCCACTCCCACAATTGTAGCTCTTGGGATTTTTGCCTCTTGTATAGACTAGTGTATACTAGCTGGTCCCTGTTATCTGATCTGATTTTCCGAAGTTTATGCCTTTCTACCTACCTCAGTACTTAGATTGTGTTGTCTCTCCGCGGGTTGGAGTTTCATTAAGGTTTCAAACTCCTATTCTTCTGCTCAGTAACATATTGGTATTAGCTAATACACAGAACCAAACCCAGTATGTGCTGTTGTTATTAGCAGCTGTTAAGTTGATTGCGACTCATGGTAAAGCTACGTGTTAAGGGCATCACATACATTAATTCACTTAATCCTCCAACAACATTAGATAGGTATTATAATTGCTTCTTCTTTCTTAAAATACTTTTATTGGGGGGGGGTCTTACATCTCATCACAATCCATACATTCATCCAGTGTGTCAAGCACATTTGCACATATGTCGACATCATCATTTTCAAAGCATTCTCTTCCCACTTAAGCCCCTGATATCAGCTCCCCCTCCCTCCCTCATCCACCCTCCCGCATTAACCCTTGATAAGTTATAGATTATTATTTCCATATCTTACATCATCCTCCGTCAACTCTCACCCACTTTTCTGTTATTCGTCCCCCTGGGAGGGGGTTCTAATTGATCCTTGTGATCAATTCCTCCTCCTTCCCCCTATAATTGCTTCTTTTATGGAATAAAAAATGATGGTACTTGCCCAAGTTCATTTAGGTAAGATGCTCAACTCTGGGATTTGAAAACAGAGAGCAGGGGTGGGAAATGTTTGGCCTACGAGCCATAGAGGTCACGCAGAATCACCAGTACCAGCGAACATCACAAGGCTCATCACAGAAAAGTGGTTCCAGCCATCACATTAGGGATGAGTCAATTATATGTTTGACCAGGATGGCCGGAGAAAGATGGTAAAAACTCACTGCCATCGAGTCGATGGGTACTCATCGATCCCAGAGGACATAGTAGAACTGCCTGGTGATATTTCTGAGACGGTAACTGTTTTATGAGTAGAAAATCGTTCTCTCACAGAGAGGCTGGTGTTTTCAAATTGCTGACCTTTCGGATCAGAGCCCAATGCATAACCACTATGCTACCAGGGCGCGAGAATGATGTTAGAAATATCTAAATGGTTATTAGCAGAAAAATGGGTTCCCACCCCTGATGTAGATTGGGGTGGCTAGGGTGGGGGTGGGCGGAGGGGGAGGAGAAATTGCTGAGTGTGGGAGCTAAGAATAACCTTCATTTCTCTTAGTCTCATCTCTGTCAGTGACAAAACAATTCTGATCCTTATAAATATGAAGGGGTCTCAAAAAGTTCACGGAAAATGGAATTATAAGATAATGGGATATTTCCATAAACTCTTGGAAGCCGCCTAGTTACAGTGGTTCTCAACCTGTGGGTCGCGACCCCTTTGGCAGTTGAACGACCCTTTCACAGGGATTGCCTGATTCAGTAGCAAAATTACAGTTATGAAGTAGCAACGAAAATAATTTTATGTTTGGGGATCATAACATGAGGAATCATATTAAAGGCTCGCAGGCATTAGAAAGGTTGAGAACCACTGTCCTAGAAGTTAGAAAATTGACCTATTTCCTTTTAGTAGATTGCTATTTGGGTATTCAACAGTCTACAACTCCCATCACAATCCACACACACATCAACTGTGCAAAGCACATCTGTACATTCACTACCCTCATCATTGTCAAAACATTTGCTCTACACTTAAGCCCCTGGCATCAGCTCCTCATCCCCGCCCCCTGCTGCTCCCCCTTCCCTCATGAACCCTTGATAATTTATAAATTATTATTTTGTCATATCTTGCCCTGTCCGACGTCTCCCTTCACTCACTTTTCTG